TCATTTGATCATTATAATGAATGAAAGTAATCACGTATTTGTTTTTAAATCCTATCATATTGCGGGTTACATATGTGTCAATGCGTCTACATATGTGTGTATGCGTGAGTACACCTGAGCATGTTTGCCGGTGCAAACAGCCGACCTGAAAAACATTAAATCCACCCCACCTGCCCGCTACTAAGAGAACACTGCTACATATGAAACGCTACAACAATGACACTGAAATAGACAGAATGAAAGTTGTGTAAATACGTGTGCTCGTGCGTGTGAATTTGTAACTGCACCTAACCAAAGATTATGAATATGGGTGTGTATGTACGAACTAACATGCATACGCTTGTATGCATGTGTGTCTATGTATATGTTAGTGCCATCCCCATTAAACGCAGAAGAAAAATACCCCCCCGCATCACACACAAAACAATCAAACCAAAATAAAGAATAAATAGATTCACATTTGATGAAATAAACCAGTTTGTCTGAAGATCGAGAAAGCGTGAAACCCAGGGTTACAAACTACTATTCATGCAACCGCATATATATATATATATATATATATATATATATATATATATATATATATATGTATGTATGTATGTATGTATGTATATAAAAGTGTATATTGAAGTCAACGCCCAAAGGCGACAGTCTTTTTCATGCTAAACGCAATTGATGGTCTGAAGCATGAGTTTAAGCATGAATTGTCGTATTGACATCAGTGCTCGTTTTTATATTTACATACGCTCTATCCCTGATATTGAGCACTTTATTCCAGGAATATATCATACCATAAAACTATATTCTATCATATATATATATATATATATATATATATGTATGTATGTATGTATGTATGTATGTGTGTGTGTATTTTCAAATTATTATCTAAAATACGGGTAAATATTAAAACTGTGTATAGGCGCCCAGATATTTATTTCGCTTAACTTAATTAAAACAGTGGAGGGTCGAACACTACACGCCTTCTAAAAGCTAAACAAAGTATTAAGGACAATTAGAAACCAAGAAAAGAATGCTATGCACTGCTATGTAATATCAATCCTCCTTGATAGCAGTAAATGCTGGACAATTTCCTTATAAATGAAGTGGACACGAGGCAACAGATGTGGTTCAACAGAAGGATACTGAAAATACCACGGACATAACATATGAACAATGAGGAAATTTTAAGAAAAATGGAAACAAAAAAAAAAACACTACTTAGAATCAGAAAGAGACATTTGTAGGACATTATGTGGACAGATGGCTTCGCGAATTTCAAACTCAGAGGAAATACTGAAGGCAAGAGGAACGGAGGAAAACAGTGTGTAATCTATTTAAGAAGCTTGTGTTAATGGATGGCAGAGCCGAGATTAGGTGAAATAGTAAGGGACCAAACATTGCTTAAAGCTACAAAGTTGTGGCGCGTCATGATCATTCCTGTTTTAAAGAGACTCAGCACATAAAAGATGATGATCACGAAACGCATTTGTTTGTGTTTAAAAGAGTTCTTTCAATTTAATTATTTCAGCTCCGAGAAAAGTAAAAATAAATAAAAACAAGTGAAACAATAGAAAAGAACGTTTTTAGCGTGCAACTTTTGAAAAACTCGATTGCCGTCTGATGGTGGCTATCGACTTAAAAGATGAAATCAACGTGCTAACGAATGGTCTATTACATTTCTACCGGCTATTTACATTAATCACAAAAATAACACTGCAGAAATTCAACAAAAGAATCAGTTATAAATGACTGTTGAGCGTTTACTGTGGTGGGATGATTATCACGCACATCTCGTAGGCTAAATAACATATAAAATGAGTCAGAGTCACATTACTGTAACCTGTAACCTACTAATCTAAACTTAGTAAATAGTTTGGTTATAAGGATTGTATTTATAGAATGGATTCTGTAACTGTATTATCGTGACAGCAAAGTGACCGTAGGCGAATGGTAAAAATAAACAATTACATTTACATAAATTAAAATGGCCCCTGATGCCAGTCAGTCAGTTATGTACCATTTGTGATACACGCTTAGGCGATCATGGATCTTTCGATACATGACTGACTAAGCAGATTTTTTTTCCCGAAGTAGGCTGCCATTTCTTTCTGCGGTAGACCAGTTGCTATCCAAGGCGGTAGAATCCGGCCTGTCTTGCTATTTACCGGTAGCTGGGGGAGAAAACGAGGATTTATATCTTTCCCAAGAGTATTAGCACGTAAGTGAATGCAATGGATTTGATTGGAATTCGAACTCGGCTCTCCGATTCCTCAATCCGAGATGCTATCCATTACTCCAACGTGCCTCCTCCTGATGCTAGAAATATGTTAATTCTGAGACGTCACAGGAGACTAGGTAACTTGCAGACAATAAAATGTAATGTTAAAAATTCAATACTTGCGTGTGTCTGCATACTTCCCTCTCTAATAAACACCCACACAAGGTGCTACAAGAGTTTGCAAAATTTGATGACAAATTTTAGTAGTCTCCTTAGATGTAATACAGAGTGCGATGGATAAACTGTCGTGTAAATTACGCAAAAATGAAAATAACACTGACATCTCATTTTAACAGATATATTTTTTTCCAAAATTGCACAAAAATATCTTGAGATATAAAAGAGTAAATTTATTCAATAAAATCGCCATTGGCTTCGACCACGGCCTCCAGACGACTTCGGAATCTCCTGCAACTCTTCTGGACGGTTTCCTTGTTTAATTTGCTGAATGCTGCCATAATCTTTGCCTTCCGTTCGTCTTTGGTGTTACAAGGAATTGTGTTGGTCTCTCGTTCATCTGCGCCCCACACATAATAATCAAGGCTGTAAGTGGTGATGTCATCGCAGTTCTCCAGCAGCCAGCCTCTTGATTCTGAGCAGCACTACCTCCTCAAGGCACTTGGTATAGGCCACCGTGTTGAGTCTGAGGTCCCGTAGGAAGATGAATGAAGGTATAATGTCGCCATCACTAGTGATCACTCCAAACACCCACGTAATCACCATTAGACTCATCTAACTCTTTCCGAATCCTCTGCACTGTCCTCAGATTGCCACCCAAGCACTTAGAAATGTTCGTATTAGAGCTTCCGGCGTGAAAGCAGTACAGCATACCATTTCCAAATTTCTGGCGGAGAAATTGCGTCAAGGTGCTCTTTACTGTGCAATCAACAAAATAAAAAACAAACAACGCGCATGCGCAAAATTAAACATATAACGTATCGACAAGTTACCCATCGCATCCTGTATATATATATATATATATATATATATATATAAAATAAAAATATAGTTTAAAGTTATGATATATTTATGTGTAAAATAGGCTCAATATAAGGACCATAGCGTGTGTAAGTATAAGAATGGACATTGTGGTCAACGCTGAGAGGCGACAGTCTGATTTAGGCTTGAAAGAAATCTTTAGGCCACGAAGATTGCGTTCAAGCATGAAACAGAATGTCTCCACTCAATTTTGGCCTCTTATATGTCCACCCTTATATATATATATATATATATATATATATATATATATATATATATATTTTGGATTATTTACCTAACCAGTTCCTTCCTATTTTCTATATATTTTCACACACACAAGCGATACAAGTTTATTAAACACACTGTAGGTGGCAATTTTCGCCAAGCAAAATATTAGTCCTGCCAATGCAAGCTGAATTTGAATTTCTTGCTTGTGTAGTCATCTCCTTCTATGGCAACACGTAAAACAAACTTGACTGAAATTGAGCGTCAGGCTACTACAATTTCAAACATACAGACCTAATATATAAGACATTAAAGGGGATTCCCTGAATATTAAAAGGGGAAATAATATTTATAAATGATGCAGTGTGCTAAGTGTTAGCCATTACATCAACTTGAAGTTCCCAAATAAGGAAAATTTTCTTTAGTATATAAATGCTTTGGGAAAATTGCTTTTCATCTGAAAAAAGGTGAGGGGAGAACTTTATCGTATCGTCAATTTATGATGGATGGTGGAGGTTATCTTATGAAAATGTTCGTTCTCACCATAGATCTATGTGTCTTGTGCAAGCATTGATATAAAATACACAGTGTTAATAAATACAAAATAAAATTTTATATAACATAATATATATATATATATATATATATATATATATATATATGCTTGTCTGAATCATCTTCAAAAAGCGAGAGCAAGATCTAAAGGGTCAGCCAATCTAACAGTGAGCTCATCTCACAATCCCCACACTTGCCCCATATGTGTCCTCCTCTGTAAATCACTAGCGGGTCTTAAATGCCACTTAAGATTATCGCACAAAATTTCATAACTGAATCAATAAGCTGTCAGATACTCATACGTCGAAACCGACGGGAGAGTCCATTATATATATATATATATGTGTGTGTGCGCCTCTCCCTCTCTCTCTCTCTCTCTCTCTCTATATATATATATATATATATATATATATATATATGGAAGGATAAAGTGATAAGTTCAAGTGTTCAAATGAAAATGTCCTGGTGCATTTTCTATCAGGCCATGCAAGGCAGTAAAGCCACTAAGACACAAGGGGTTACAGGGTGTGGAAGAATTAGGAGCAGCAACATTACTAATGATCTCAAAGAGAAAAGATTAATCAGGTGGATAGTAGATAACGATTGACATTGCATTTAAATTTTTCCAGATTAAAGTTGACTGGAAAGCATGGAGCCGAAAGGAAGTTCCACAAGCGAGAAGTGTGAGAAAAGAAACTGTTAGCATAGAACTTACGGTTACATCTCGCCAGCTCAACTTAAATTGATAAGATCTTGATGCCAGTCTAGCACTGCACTTAAATTTATAAAGTCTAGGTACCATAGCGAAGAGTTCGTCCAAACAATTACCATTGAATGTATTTATAGAAAAGACACAGAGAAGTCGAGCCGCCAGATCAGGATCGATTATATTGCTGATTCTTCTTTCGTAAGGTAAATAGCAACAAATGGCAACAATATTCTAAGCATGCACAAATGGTAGTCATAGATATGTAAGATAGATTCTGGAGAGATAATTTGACTCGCATACGTGAGAGAGAAAGAGAGGGCAGATAGATAGATAGATAGATAGATAGATAGATAGATAGATAGATAGAATGTGTGTGTTTTTGTGTGTATCCTGGAGAATGTAGATATGTGTGTATACAAATGTAGCAGTCGCCTTGCTTAAAATGAGTGAAGGAAGTATGTATGTATTACTGTGAACGCAGGACTATGTGGACGTCTAGGTTGCCAGTGGTAGGAGGACGTATGTATTGTATGAGTCAATCCGAGACTGTGTGGGTTGTGCATGGTTCATATTTCAACTCTGGCTATATTACGATGACCGCATCATTGGAGAATTGAGGAAATTAATCAATTTTCATCTGTTCATATCGTGGACCAATCAGAAGACATGCAGCAGTTTCGAAAAGCATTTCTAGATATGTAATCTACAAATGCGCTTCGAAATTACTGGATGTCTTCTGATTGGTTCACGATCAGTGGCCTTATATCCAGGTTGTGAACAGATCTTGTTTCCGATTCACTCGCTAGACTATTATGTTAGTATCCTGGTCGGGGCGGTTTCTGATTAGTTGGTCTAAATATGACTTCATGCATTATCAATCTTGAATATCCATGCATTCTTAGGGAGGGTGAAATTTTAATTTCCTAGTTATTCGTTTATTTATTTTTATTACGACATGTTAAGTACCCGAAAAACAAAACTACTACTATATATATATATATATATATATATATATATGAATGACAAAAATATAGTTTTAAGGTATGCTATAGTTATGGTTAAAAGTGATCAATATCAGGGATAGAACGAGCGAGTATATAAAAGTACCATAACATTCTCTTCTCGATATATATATATATATATATGGAGCGATCGATAAATTGTCGTCAAAATTTCACAAAAACTAAGATAATATAGACATATCATTTTAACAGATATATTTAGCAAAATTGCACAAAAATATATTGAAATACTCAAGAGCAAATTTATTAAATAAAATCGCCATTGGCTTCATCTGCACCCACCAGACGACTTCGGAATCTCTTCTGGACGGTCTCCTTGTTTAAGTTGGTGAATGTTGCCATAATCCTCGCTTTGGTTTCATCTTTGCTGTTACAAGGAATTTTGTTGGCTCTCGCTCAACTGAGCCTAACATAATAATCAAGCGGGTTGCAGTCTGGGGAGTTAGGTGTTCATATTTAAGGGGTAATGTGGTCGCAGAAATTGTCTGACAGCCATGACTCGGTTCTCTTGCATGTTTGGCATGGTGAAGAGATCTGTTTCGCATTGAATATGAAATTATTAGGCTATTGGAGGATCTTGAAAGTATTTTCAGGATATTTCTCCTCTTCATGTAAATGAATACGAAATAAGTATTTACAACAAATATTTTCATACAAACAGATAAATAAAAAGCAAAAATATAATAAAACTTTCCCACATACCCGGAGCGCTTTATCTTCTGTCATTCTAACAGAGGTGCAGGGTGGGTGGGTTTCGACTGAAATGTGGGGTACTAAAAAGTGCACCAATAGCCAAACATACCCCAGCTAAGTTAAATTAAGTAATTAAGTGATCAGGGTATCTAATTAGGATCAACCTTCTATTTAGTAAAATTAAATGTTCACTTAACTCTACTCAGAGTTTTGCGGAAATTGCATCCACTCGTCAGGAGGATTGATAGTAAAATTGAATTTATTGACTAGGATTACAGTAAAAGGTTTTACGCCAAAAATATACATGATTACATATTGTGTTCAATATATGTGAATAACAATTATGGACTAGCGAAAGAAGCATTCCAAAAGTTAAGCAAGGTGCTGAGAAATAAAAAAAAAATTCATTAGAAACAAAGAAAAGAGTGCTGGAGAGTTATGTGTCATCCATCAATGTATATGGTAGTAAACATTGGATATTCTCCCCATGAATGAGGAAAAAAAAACTAGAAGTAGTAGAAATATGGTTCTACAGAAGGATGCTGAGAATTCTATGAACGGAGAGAGTAAGCAACAAGGAAGTCTTCAAGAAAATGGCAACAAAAAGAACTCTTATACTCAGAATCTGGAGAAGACGGCTGGAATTCCTTGGACACATAATGAGGAAGAAGTGAGTCTGATAGCAAAAACAAAAAGCAAAAAAACAAAAGGAAAAAACAAAAAACAACGCAGCTGTTCTGAGTAATTTGATTAGATTAGTATACTTCAATTGGATGAATTAGGGTTTTAAAGTTTGCATTTAAAAAGAACAAATCCTTTGTAAACCGAAGTATATTTCGAGGATGAGCTTGTAGTGGTTTATCTTACCATTTTGTTGTTTAATTCCGACGAAATCACCAAATATGTAATGGCTTGTATATTCCTTGAACGTCGGTGTCATCAATATATGTTGATATAGAGTTACCAATATTTTACTTTGGCTAAGAAAGATGAGATTAAGGACAATGCGTGAACGCAATGCAATTTATACTTGACGTAAATAGCACATAGAATAAAATACAAAACTGAACGGAATGATTCCAAAACATAACAATTAGATTTATTAATGTTTGATGTACATGCATGCGAACTGAAAAGGTAGGACAGAGTCATGTCCCTTTGATTTGGTAATATTTGTACCGGAGTTCATATTAAGAAGAAGTAATATTGAACGTGTAATTTAGAAGAATAAAGTTTGGAATTGTGAGTTCTAAAGTTGATAAAAGTTCAGGAGTGATTTCAGAGTTTGTGAATGTTGGTAATTATCTTTAACGTCTGGCCAGCAAATGACTAAGACGGGAGTTCCTGAAGGTTACATCTTGGCACTTGGTAGCAAGGAATGAGAAGTGCAAGAGAGATGAATGAAAAACTACTACTCAAAAAGTTCACACGTGTTCGGTTTATATAATGGCCGTGTACCACGTGGGAGGCTCAAACGGAGAAAGCGGGAAAAACAGATTGGTCGCGTGCAGGCAGTTTGATTGGTCGGAACTGACCAATCAGCAAGCAAGATTGGAGGTGATTGACCAATGAATACTTGTTATATTTATGTGAAAGTAGGATTTTACTTACCAGATAGGAAGAGTGCATTTCCTAAAAAGAGGTAAGGCTGGTTGTTGTGGAAGATCCTACAATACCAAAACCCACGTTCTAAAATCTGATTAATGGCCGAGCATTAGAATTTAAAATAAAGAAAAATCACTTCTTGGTTAGGCTAAGAATCTTTCAGCATCTTCTTGTAGGATTTCTTTAGTCTGAGACAAGGCTACATGTGTTAGGCGCTCATTATAACTCAATGTGTCGTAATGATCTATTTACAATTAGGCAAACGTAACAATTGGAGTCGAGCAGCCTTATCTCTGAAATAGCTGTGTATCGTCAATAGTATGTTGCCAGAGGTCGGTGTTCGTGTCCACATATATGCCTTGTTTTTGCAAGCTGATTTTAATTGAAAAGGAATGTCAGTTTAATGTTTGCCTTTCTGTAACATTTAAACTCATGTAAAATGTTTTATAATGTCTGTGTTTTTCGTTGCCTTTGCTGCGTTTCAAGTACAAAATGTTTACCTTCATAAAAAAGTCCATTCAATTTTCTTTTGTTCTCACTGAAAAATTCAAATTCAAATAACATGCAAATCTGAATATACCATGTTTCTGCCAATAACCAATTGGAACTTTTGATTTTGACTGACAACCAATCGAATTCATTTTCACCGCCTTTTATACGAACATTATCTTATTTAATCACGATGGTCATTAAAGCAACAGAGATTCTGATTGTTTTCTATAAAGGGACATTGATAATCTTGAATGTTTGCTTACACTTATCATCGTTCACTTTTTCCCAACTCATATGGCGGCTTCTTAGATTTAATGTCTTTTTTCTATTTTTCACAATGCCAGGAATTAAACCTTTCAATGAAAGTTTGCTTTCTAAAGTAATGTTGACTTAATTACGATTTTTTTTTCTGAGAGAAAGAAATATCATTTGTTTATAACTCTTCGACCTCATCCAGTTCAATGATGTAAAAGATAAAAGGGAAATAAAAGGCGTTCTCTTCTTCCCTTTCCGACTTGATACTGAGCTCGGCGTCAAAGATATATATATATATATATATATATATATATTTAAAGGAAGAGGTTATAGTTATCCCATCGAAAGAAAAGTGTATATATTAAAAATAAGAGAGAAACCGCAAACGTTTTTGGTTGTAATGTGGCTTTTTTTTAATATTATGCTTTTTTTTCCCATAATTTTGCTACACGTGTTCAAGGAAGACATTTGGATTACTAACACACAAAAAAGAGAATGTCTAATACCGAAAATGTTTAACATCTAAAAACACAAGAAAAATGAATTTCTTTTAATAATATGTGGAAATATCCACTCTTTACCTGATGAAGATCACGAGGCCGAAAACTCGTGTAGCAAAATTATGCTAAATAAAGCATAATATCTTTTTAAAAAAATCCACATTACAACCAAAAACGTTTGCGGTTTGTCTCTTCTTTTTAATATATATATATATATATATATATATGTAAGTGGACATTGAAGTCAACACTCAGAGGCGACAGATGTGTTGTGTTTTTCTCGACTATTTATATATACGGGTCAGTGGTGCATTGTTGGTAGTCTATTGCATTGTGGGTAGTCTAATATAACGGTTATTTTGGTGGGAGTAGTTTGTTAATTTGTGTATTATTTACTATATTATTTTTTATTTATTTATTAGGATTAATTTATTTTACTTGTTTTTGCTTATATATATATATATATATATATATATATACATATATATATATATATATATATATATATATATATATATATATATATAAACAATGCAGTTATTAAGAAGAAGAATTGAAATTACTGCACGCAAGATTTTACTGCTCTAGCATCACTACTTCATAGTCAACCTATGAACTTTTCAGACGGCCTACCTACATGACTCGTATTTACTAAGCTTAGCGTGTTACAAGCTGTCAATACTGGGACACCCAGTAAGGTTAAAAATGAATACACAGTCGAACGATATGTGAGACTGGCTTTGTTAAGTTACCCAACATGATTATCGTGTTAATTATCCGCTAGGTTAACGTGTTCGATATTAAGTACCTCACTACGGTTGTA